AAACCATGGTTAGTCATGTGGGATTTTAGCACCTTAACCACCATGCTACCTGCTGGCCTCACCTTTCTTATTTACCTTTATTGCCTTGGTATTATTTTTCTTTTTTTAAATTTTTGCTATAGGGCATGTACACTTGCCCGAGACAGAGAAAGAGAGAGTGAGAAATCACACTCCCAGGGGCGTGGCCACACTGCAATTCCTTCTCTTCCATTCTTCTCTCAGGATTTTGGGCACACACATGCATGCCTGGCATTTTTTTTTTTAGAGGTTTTTGCTATAGGGCGCGTGCGCTCGCCATACAGAGAAAGACAGAGAGACAGAAAGCGAGAAATCACCCCCCGGGGGCATGGCCACGCCTCAATTCCTTCTCCTCCAATTTCCTCTCAGGATCTTGGGCACACATGCACATGCGCCCGGCGTGAGTTTTAAGCCACTGGGTCTGGGACGCAAACCATGGTCAACTACGTGGGAGTCCAGCAACATAGCCATTACACTAACAGCTGGTCCCAATGCCTGGCATGTTTTTCAAGCCACTGGTCTGGGACTTGAAATGAGCAGTTGGCCATGTGGGATCCAGCTGCCTCAACCACCATGCTACCAGCCAAACCTCCTTGGTATTTCTTTTAGTTTTCAGGAATGCTGGTAGAGCTCTCTCCTATTTACCTGAAGGGGCAGATAGAGTGAAAGGTCATGTCCAAGTGACAGGTCACAAGCTGGGGATCTTTCCTAGATGCTCTGGGTCTCTGTCCAGTGCCTGTGTTTCTGATCAAGACTCATCCTTAAGCTGGACCCCAGCTCCCCAGGGAACTATTGGGGAACCCCTGGGATACTCACATCTCTTCAGCACTGGAATCATGTGCTTTATGCCTCTTAGCATTGTTTTCCAATTGTTCTCTCTTGGGCTCCCTACCTGCCCCCATTCTCCCTCTGGGCTGCATACCCCACCTAGATTATGTGCAAGTGTGGCTGGCTTTCATTTTCCTTGTTTGCTCAAAGGGTACATGTGCTCTCCAGACAGAGACAGGGAGACAAAGAGAAAGCACCTTTCAACAAGGTGTCATCATGCCACAATCCCTTCTCCTCTAACTTTCCATCCTGTTGAGATTTGGGGCTTGCACAAACACACGTATCTAGTGTGTTTTTCAAGCCACTAGGGTCAGAATTCGAACTGCCATTTGGGATCTGGTTCCCTTAACCACTAACTCACAGGGCTGGCCTTTTCTTGTGTGTCTTTCCATTGTAGTTTACTATGGTGCTGGGTAAGGTATAAGAGCTCGGTAAGTCCTCTCTGATCTGTTAGCTTCAGAAATCATTTAATAAATGCTCAAAAGAGAAGATGGGTATGAACAGGTACCTTCTAGCAATCTGCAGGTTAGGGGACAGCAGGCGGTATTGTTAAGGTACTGAACTCCCACATGGCTGACCATGGCTTATGCCCTGGGCCTGGTAGCTTGCAAATCACACTGGGTGCACATGTATGCATGCCCAAAATCCTAAGAGGAGAATGGATGAGAAAGGATAATGGTGTGGCCATCCTCAGTGGTGGGTGATTTCTCACTTTCCCTCTCTCTCTCTGGTGAGCACATGTGCCCTGTGGCAAAACGCTAAAATATAAATAAATGAATAATAAAACTTATATCTTAAAAAAAAAACCTACAGGCTTAATATGTAATGGGTATAAACAAACTAGCACATAAACTAAGAGAATTTATAAAACACTGCACTTCAAAAAACTTTTGATGATCAGTGCTGATTTTGGAGGCTTTTTAAAAAATGGATATATATTCTTTTTTAAATAATTATTATTTTTTATTATTTTTAAGAGTTTTTTGCTATAGGGCATGTGCACTCACCAGACAGACAGAGAGAGACAGAGAGACAGAAAGCGAGAAATCACCCCCAGGGGGGATGGCCACGCCACAATCCCTTCTCCTTCATTCTCCTCTCGGGATCTTGGGCACGCACGCACACGTGCCCGGCGTGAGTTTTAAGCCACCGGGTACAGGACTTGAACTGCAGTCAACTACATGGGAGCCCAGCGACATAGTCAGTACGCTAACTGCTGTTCCCTATTATTATCATTATTATTATTATTATTATTTAAAATTGTTATAGGTCACGTACAACTCACCAGAGAGAGAGAGAAGGAATGCGAAAAAGCAAGCCTCCAGGTCCAGGATTCAAACTAAGGCTGGCCACGCTTAAGTCCAACACCTCAACCACCATGCCAACTGCTGGCCCCAATGCTGAGGGCTTTTGACAATCAGTGCTATAAAGTTGGAACCAGAGATAAACTCAGACAACAGCAGGAAACCTGGCCTTATTGGTTGTCTTCCTAGAAGAATTATTTACCATTTTCAGAATTGTTTGCTCGTCTTCACAGCTCACCAGAAAATTCCTATGGGGAAGGATCAGCCTTTGTGGTTTTGCCTCTGTGTGACCTTCCCCCAGCTTCTGTACACCTTCCTCCTGCAGCTGGCATCTAGGATCCCCACAGCACTGACTGAGTACACTAAACATCTTGGTTCCAATTTCATCAGAGCAGGTGGACAGGAAAGTGGACAGAGTGCAGTTTTCAGACCTGTCAGACCTGGGGCAATAATTTATGGGCTGAGTGACATCTTTGGTCAAGTACATGACCTCAGGCCAGTCACATGCAGTTTCTTCTTCTGAAAACAGGGATAATTAAACTGATTTCTTTCCCAAAGTGACCAGGTGGATTCATTGAGATAATGCAGGCCTCTCTGCTTCATCTAGTACTTCACGACATTAGCAGCCACCAGAGAATATCTGCCCAGCCCTGTCCTGATGTGCAGGGCTACCCCTGGAGGTGACTAAAAGTCATTCATTATATCTGCCTCCAGTTCTTCTTCCTCCATCCCTCCAAATCAGTTCAGGCATAATTTAGTTACTATGAACAGCAAGCATGCACCTACCTACAGAGTTGTTGTGAGGATGGAATGAGTTAATACATACATATATTTTGTGTATATCATTTTTTAAATAATATTTTTTCTTGTTTTGCCATAGGGTGCATGCACTCACCAGAGAGAGACAGAGAGAGGTAGAAGGAAAGTGAGAAATCACCCCCTAGGGTGTACAGTCACACTGCAATCCCTTCTCCTCCTGGAATTCTGGGCGTGTATGCACATACACCCTGCTGATTTTCAAGCTACCAGGTCCAGGATTCAAACCATAGTCAGCCATGTGAGGGTCCAGCACCTTAACCACCATGCCACCTCCTGGTCCCTGTGTAAATTTTTATCATTACTAAATTTCACTGAATTAAGGTTTTTATTTTTTTATTTCTTGAGAAAGAAAGAACATGCCCAAATGAGACAGATACTTTTTTTTTTTTTTGGAGAGATTTTCGCAATAGGGCGCGTGCGCTCACCAGACAGACAGAGAGAAACATAGAGACAGAAAGCGAGAAATCATCCCCCAGGGGGGATGGTCATGCCGCAATCCCTTCTCCTCCATTCTCCTCTTGGGATCCTGGGCACGCACACACACGTGCCCGGCGTGAGTTTTAAGCCACCAGGTCCGGGACGCGAACCGCGGTCAACTACGTGGGAGTCCAGGGACACAGCCATTATGCTAACTGCTGGTTCCCAAGACAGATACTCTTGACAGAGATAATTAAACTGATTTATGTAAAGCTGGAACCAGAGAAAAACTCAGACAGCAGCAGGAAACCTGGCCTTATTGGTTTTCTTCCTAGAATTATTTACCATTTTCAGAATTGTTTGCTCGTCTTCGCAGCTCACCAGAAAACTTCTGTGGGGAAAGGTCAACCTTTGTGGTTTTGCCCCCATGCCACAAGCATCCCCACAGCTTCCCAGCCGGCCAGGATCACAAGTGTGCTCAGGAGTGTTCAGGTTCAACTGGATCTGAATGCAAGCTTCCCATATGGCTCCAGCATTGCAGGTAGTGCTGAGTCCTGAACCAGGCTGGGCTGTTGCCAGTTAAACTATAACACATCATAGACTGGAACTGGAGCTGAAATCACATACAGTACTGACTAAGATGTGTGAAACAAAAGGTGTGTCTATTTATTTACCTTTGATCAGAGAAGGACAGAGAGAGAGACAGCAAGAGATATGTAAAGTGAGAAAGCAAGCCACCAGATGCAGGACTCAAACCCTGGTCGGCCATGTGGGAGTCCAACACCCTTAACCATCACCCTGCAAGCCCTGAAGGTATGTCTTAAAACAAAGTACAGAATTGTTATCATTAGAGGGCTAGAGCTAGAACATGCTAGTATCCTGTGCCTCAGGATCCAAAGTTCTATCGTTTATGCCTTTGGGACCTTAATGCAAGATTCTTAACTTCTCTACGCCTCCATTTTTCACCGGTAGAATGAAGATAGTATCAATAGTACCTATCACTCAAGACTATTGGAGCAATTAAATATTTGAGTACTTAGAACCTAATACACAGTAGCGCCTTTATTGCTGCTATTTAGAACACAATTATTGTTCCCAGATTCGAAGATTGGCTAACTGAGGGAGGAAAGGAGGCACCCCCGGCTTTTAGACCCGGGTCCAGACTTCCTCCTCCCGACCGGCTTCGGAGAATGTCGGTAGGTCGGAGACCCAACACCCCCGCGCCCCGCCGGCCCCAGTCTCCACCTGGCCCCGCCCCATCCCCTTTGGTCCCGCCCCCCAGTCCCGGCCCCGCCCAACCTTTCCTGGTCTGCCCTGGCGCTAGTCTCGCGTACTTTGAAAGTGCGTAAGCTCCGGCTGAGACTCGGAGCGGCGGTTGGTCGGACGAAACCATCTGCTACGTAATATGGGGGGAATCAAAAAAGACTGCACACCCACGCCTTTTAAGTCTTTAGCTTTTCAGCCCCAGATGCTAGAATTATTGTAGCTTTCATATTCTTCCCGCATGCTCAAACTCGCAAGAGTAAACTCAACTCCCTGAGAAAAGACTTATTATATCTCTGTGAGGAGCTCTACCCCTCTCGACTAGGAGCAGGTGGGAGAGGAAGACGGCCGCCGGGGGGAGGAGGCGGCCCTAGCGCCATTTTGTAGGAACGAAGCGGTAGCTGGGCTGCTCTTGGATCCCTCGCTGCTTCCGTTTCTTGTCGGGCTTCCTAGCAGCGGCCTAGTGGGTGAGTCGCAGACGCTTCTCACTGAGGACGCTCTGGGTGCCTCGGCTCTTGCTTTGGGGAGGCCTAAGGAGGCCGCAGCGGCTTCAGCCTCTGCTCCGGGAAGGGATCCGTGAGGCCAGGCCTGCCTGGTCCTGCCCGAGCGGGCTCTCGCGGGAGCGTTGTTAGGGCCTGGCGCGGGGCGGCATCTGGCGCCAAAGCTAGGAAGGCGCGCCTCCGGTGCCGCGCAGCTCGAGGCGCAGGTTTGGCCTGGGCTGGCCTCGGGGCCCAGGGGATGCATGTGCCTGCGGGGCTTTGCACTCTGAGGGACACCGCCGGCTCAGGCCTTGCGCCCCAGCGTCCCCACCTCGGGCCACGCTGAAGAACTCCTCCCTCGGCCGTCACGCACTGGCTTCTGGGAGGTGGCTGCCCGCAGCACCGAGGACCTGTCGCCGCTTTAAGGTCCACGTTGCAGCTCAACTGTGGAGAGCCCCCAAAATGAGGAACAGAGGAACTTTTTCTCTGTTCTCTTAACCTAGCTTACTGTCCTTATTCAACCCTCAAGGCTCATCTTGTGCATCGCTTTCTTAGGGAACTCTGACTCACACACGTGTATGCTTCTCTCAGTTTAGGTTCTCAGGCTTAATTTCTTTCACGATTGTAATAAAATAGTTAACTTGTTTACTGTCTTTCTCTTGTTTATACTCTCTCCGCCAGTCACGTGAGACTCACAGGTTAACTGCAGCCCCCAGAGTAAGCACTTGGCCAGTATTTAGTAAATGAATGAACCCGCAAGGGATCACATTTTAATAAGAATTGCCATCTTCGCCTTCACTTTAATAACCAGTATGTGTAAGAATCCAAACCAAGAATTCTTCAGGAAGTCAGAACAATAACGTGGCGGTGGTATTGTCAGCCAATTGTTCTGATATAAGTATTGGTGATTCGTGTGTCTTTTTCCTTTAAGAAAAAGAAGAAAAGATGTCTGAGTATATTCGGGTAACCGAGGATGAGAATGATGAACCGATTGAAATACCATCAGAGGATGATGGGACGGTGCTGCTGTCCACGGTTACAGCCCAGTTTCCAGGGGCATGTGGGCTGCGCTACAGGAATCCAGTGTCTCAGTGTATGAGAGGTGTCCGGCTGGTAGAAGGAATTCTGCATGCTCCAGATGCTGGTTGGGGAAATCTAGTGTATGTTGTCAACTATCCCAAAGGTTGGTTACCATTTGCTTTTATAGTGGTGTAGAAGTGTAATTGGGCTTCTGTCTCACTTATCCTAAGGTATAGATGTTGATGCTAAATTTAAGAGATTGCTAAAAATGCTTTGCAGTTATATCGTTCTGTTATAAAAAGATTCTTTCAAAGTGTTCCAGCATTTTGGTTAGGTCATTGTCCGTGCAGTTTTATGTCAAATTCATTCAGCTAATCTGACTTCTTATTTTCCTTTAAATGAACAATCAATTGGAGTAACCCAAATCTTGAATTAATGCTGTTCCAATTATAATTTTCTTAAAGAATTATTTTACTTTTTATTATTTATTAACTATTTATTTAAATTTGACCAGAGAGAGAAAAAGCAAGCTGCCAGGTCCAGGATTCAAACCATGGTTGACCATGTGGGAGTCCAGCGCCTTTAATCACATGCCACCTGCCCCCCCCTTATAATTTTTGGGGTTCCAGTCTTATTCTCACTTTTATCAGTTTTCCAAATCTAAGGAAAGCATACATGAAGAAAAGGAAGCATGAAGATTAAGAAGTATTTCAAGGAAATAATAATTTTAGCAATTCAGATGTGTTAGTTGATATGTCTTGTTATTTTTATTATAACTTGATTTTAAAACAATGTCAGTTCATCGAATTTGATCAGTATACAAGACATTGACTTAAATGTCTAGAAGGTTTTAAATAGCATGAATTTAAAATGTCATTTAATTCCTTTCCCCTTTGCTTATAAATAACCTAAGTTAGGTTAGACTTTAAAATTTTGCCAGAGGGTACATGCACTTGCTGGAGAAAAAGGGAGGGAGGTGAGAAAGTACCCCTTAGGAGGAATGGTCACACCACAATCCCTTCTCTGTTTCTCCTTCATTTTGAGATTTGGGGCACATATATACAGATACCTGGTCTATTTCTCAAGCCCTGGATCTGGAATTTGAACTGCACAGTTGGTCATAACGGGATCCAGCCACTTTAACCATGCCATGGCTGGCCCGTAGACTTTTCAAAATAATCTAAGCTTTTCTCTTTTTTTTTCTTTCTTTTTTTTTTTTTTTTAATTTAATTGCATATTTGCTGAGGGTAAATAGAGAAAGCACCCCCAGTGGAGCCTGGTCACACCGCAGTCCTTTCTCCTCCATTTCTCCATTCATAAGGATTTGGGGCACACGCATACATGTGTATTTCAAGCCACTCGTGCTGGGATTTGAACCACATCAGCCATGTAGGATCTGATTCCCTTTATGGTGCTAAAGGGCTGGCCCTAATGTTTTCTTTTTTATTACAGAATTAATATGTATGCATTGATCAGCAAAGAGAAAGATTAAAATCACCCTAAAATATACATCTGCAGATGGAAGTTGCTTATTTTTTGGCAGATAGCCTTTAAATAGTATATTCAGAGGGACCAGCAGGTGGTATGATGGTTAAGGCGCTGGACACTCCCACATGACCGACCAGGGTTCAAGTCCTGAATCTGGTGACTTGCTTTCTCACTTCCTCTCTCTCTCATTCTCACCGTCTGTCTCTCTCTGGTCAAATTAAAAAAAAAAAATGAATGAATAAATAAATAATTATATTTTAAAAATTGTGTATTCAGATAATCAAGCAATATGTTTACAGAGATTGTATCACACTGGTTTTAACCTGTTTTTTCCTTCATGAATTTTAAAGGGAAGGTGAAGTAGAATTATTTTGAGAAATCTTTGAGAGGGAGGAGAGTTGGAAATCCCTGAATTTACACCAGAAAAGCTCCTCAGCCACTTAAGCCTTTATTCTGTCCTCGAGGGCTAACATTAACTCCTTGCCAAAAGTTTTCAGTATCTTATTCTTAGGATTCTTTTTTTTGCTTCTTATTTTCAGATGTAGGAAATAGTGATTTTTTTTTTTTTGCTATAGGGCGCGTGCGCTTGCCAGACAGACAGAGACAAAGAGACAACAAGCGAGAAATCACCCCCCAGGGGGGATGGTCACGCCGCAATCCCTTCTCCTCTCGGGATCCTGGGCACGCACGCACACAGGCCCGGCGTGAGTTTTAAGCCACCGGGTCTGGGACGCGAACCGCGGTCGATTACGTGAGAGTCCAGCGACATAGCCATTACGCTAACTGCTGGTCCCTGGAAATAGTGATTTTTTTTTTTTTTAAAGAAATGCTAAATGAAGATTTCTAAATGTTTCTGCTCATCTTGTTTAGATAACAAAAGAAAAATGGATGAGACAGATGCTTCATCAGCAGTGAAAGTGAAAAGAGCAGTCCAGAAAACATCTGATTTAATAGTGTTGGGTCTTCCATGGAAAACAACTGAACAGGATCTCAAAGAGTATTTTAGTACCTTTGGAGAAGTTCTTATGGTGCAGGTAAAGTTCCATATTGTGTAGTAGTTTCTCTATATCTGAATGAGCACCTAGTGTACCTTTTACATCAGTGGCTCATTCATGCTTAACAGCTAATACTTTAGTATTTGTTACGTGTATACATAGGGGGGATACTTATAAAGAAATTCACCTTATGCTGTACTTCATTCGATGCATATTCCATGTATTTTTGATATTCTAAAATCCTGGTATTGCCTAAAGGCTTAGGGAAGTAGGGGGCAGTAGCTTTTTTTTTTTTCCCTAGGTTTTTACCATAGGATGCGTGCATTCTCCAGATAGAGACTGAGAGAGGGAAAGTAAGAAATCAATCCACCAGTAAGATGGTACATCATAGTCCCTTCTCCTCCATTCTCCTCATAGAATTTTGTTAGGATTTGGGACAGTCAGGCCCATGGCACTCGGCATGATTTTCAAGCCACCATGTCCTAGGCTCAACTGCACTCGGACATGTGAGAGTCCAGCACCTTAACCACTTTGCCATCAGCTCCAACCTCTTTCTTTATATATTACATAGAAGGGAGAATTTCTGTTTCCCCTATTTAATGCAGATTCATAACAAATCTATTGTGCACTTGTTCTAAAATATTCTGCTCTGGGACCAGCAGATGGTGTAATGGTTATGTTGTTGAACTCCCACGTAGTCAACTGCAGTTTGAGCCCCAGACCCGGTGGCTTAAAACTCATGCTAGGTGCCTGTGTGTGCATGCCCAAGATCCTGAGAAGAGAATGGAGGAGAAGGGATTGCGTCATGGCCATCCCCACAGGAGGTGATTTCTTATTTTCTGTGCATGTCTCTCTCCAGTGAGCACATACACCTTAAAGCAAAAATCTCTAAAAATCTTCTGCTCAGATTTTGTTACGTAAATGAATTGCTTAACTGTTAGAATGATCTTGATTCATTAGTGACTCTCACTGCTTTTATGTCAATACTAGCTTTAATTTTTAATTAGGCCACTGCACACAATTGAAGCCATTCAGTTTGTATGTCAGGGGATTTTGATTTTCAGTGTGGGGTGGATGGGTGATGTGTATAGCTTTCGGATAGAGTTAAATTTAAGCTTTTTTTTTTTTTTTTTAATTAGGTCAAGAAAGACATTAAAACCGGTCACTCAAAAGGGTTTGGTTTTGTTCGTTTCACTGAATATGAAACCCAGGTGAAAGTAATGTCACAGAGACATATGATAGATGGACGATGGTGTGACTGTAAACTTCCTAATTCTAAGGTACTTTGTGGTTTTCTTTTATTCTCTCTGCTTTGGAAATTTTTGCTGACGAATTCTTAGAAGACACTAAAATAAAATGTTTAATACACTTAGAGAAGATAGTGACTGGATATATGTTCTTGAAATCTTTTGCCTAATGAAGCCTTAGGACTTTAATGTATGTTTTTGTTTTTGTCGGAGGGCTCATGTACTTGTCTTAGGGAGGAGAACAAGGAGAAAGGAACCCACAGTGGGATTTGGTTGCCCTGTAATCCCTTCTCCTCTCTTTGTGGATTTGGGGTGCAAAGCACATGTTCCTGGTGTGTTTTTCTAGCTACTTGGGACAAGATTTGAATCATGCAGTCAGCCATGTGGGATTCAGCTACCTTAACCACCAGATTTCAAATCTGGCTGTGTATGCTGAATAGTTTATGTTTCGTAGAAATATTTAGTTTATTGGGACCAGCAGTTGGCATAATGGCTGTCGCTGGACTCCCATGTAGTTGACCACAGTTCAAGTCCCAGATCCAGTGGCTTAAACTCCCTCAGGGCGCGTGTGTGTGCATGCCCACCCAAGATCCTGAGAGGAGAATGGAGAAGGGATTACAGCGTGGCCATCCCCCAGGGGGTTGATTTCTCGCGTTCTGTCTCTCTTTCTGTCTCTGTCTTTCTGGCGAGTGCACGTGCCTTATAGCAAAAAACTTCTCCAAAAAAGGTGGGGAAAAAATTTAGTTTATTACTCCATCAAACTAAAACTGTTCATTTTATTCTTCTTTTTTTGTTAATTCTGTCAAGTTAACAGTTTCTTACATAGTTATGCAGGAAAATGTAACAATACATTAATCTTGTTATAAAGGCCTCACTTGTTTTGAACAAGCAAGTAAGACTTGCTTATTTGGAATATCATCATCTTTGCTAAGACATTCTCAGTCAATTGACTTTTTTCCTAAATCCAGATAAACTTTTATAACCTAAAACTTTAATCTTGGTTTAGCTGTGGGGAAGACCTGGGTTCAATTCTCAGGCCAACCTGGACATGCTGGGTGCAGTTTTGTATTCCTATAATCCTAGCTAATTGGGAGGCTGGGACAGGAGGTTGTAACATGTCAAGACCCTGACAAAAAATACTTAACTCTGGGATCAGCAGATGGCATAATGGTTACGTTGCTGGACTTCCACGTAGTTGGCTGTGGTTCGAGTCTTCGACCTGGCTTAAAACTCACACCAGGCGTATGTGCATTTGTGCCCAAGATCCTGAGAGGAGAATAGAAGAGAGAGGATTGCTGTGTGGCCATCTCCCCTCGGGGGATGATTTCTCGCTTTCTGTCTCTCTGGCCAGCGAATGTACCCTAGAGCAAAAACCTCTCTTAAGGGACCAGCAGATGGAATAATGGTTATGTTGCTGGATTCCCACGTAGTTGACTGTGATTCAAGTCCCAGACCTGCTGGCTTAAAACTCACTTGGGGCACATGTGCATGCATGCCCAAGTGGAGGAGAATGGAGGAGAAAGGACTGCAGTGTGGCTATCCCCCCAGGGGTGAGTTCTCACTTTCTGTCTCTGGTAAGTGCATGTGCCCTATAGCAAAAGTCTCTCTCAAAAAAAAAAAAAAAAAACTTCTGGGCCATCCTGTGGTGGTGGCTGGTGGTAGCACAACACTGAACAATACTTGGGGCCATGTGGGAAGACCCCAGTTTGGGAGCCCAAATCAGTCTGAATATACCAGGCTTGCCTTTGATCCTAGCTGGTTGGAATGTGAGGGGGATAATCACAGTGTGGTAAACCCCACACTTTATTAGTTGATCCTGCTTTTCTGCACACACATACTCCTGCACACATTTCCTCCTCCTGCCTCTTCTTTCTCTGTCATATATATATAAAGTTTTTCTGAGGAAAAAAAGAGATTTTTCTTTTACTTACTTTCCTTTTTCTTTTGGGGGAAAAGGGAAAAAAGCTATCTGTGTCTCTCTAACACTCTTCATAAGGGGAAAGGAAAGCACTTCTTTCTGGTCCATCCTCTTAACCTAGTGGTTAAAGGATCTGGATCCCATGTGGCTGACCGCAGTTCAGGTCTTAGCCCCAATATCTTAAAAAACCTGCTGGGCATATGTGTGCACATCCCAAAAATCCTGACAGGAGGGAGACATGGGGAAAAAGGGATTGGGGAGGTGCTTTTTTCCTTCTCCTGCTCTCTATTTCCCTGTCTTTGGTGAGTGTATATGCTCTCTGACAGTTTAAAAAATAAAAATATATTCTTTGTTGTCTTCGAAGTGCTGATGAAAAAGTGAAAGAGTTTTTTTTTTCTACTTTTTAATTATTTTACCTGATTTACAATGCAAAAATATTTTGTTGCATTTTTTACTGAAGTACTCTTTTCATTGCCCATAAAATATTTTTGATATTTTTTTTCCTTTCCTGTGATTTGACCAGCAAAGCCCGGATGAGCCTTTGAGAAGCAGAAAAGTGTTTGTTGGGCGCTGTACAGAAGATATGACTGCCGATGAGCTGCGGCAGTTCTTTTGTCAATATGGAGAAGTGGTCGATGTCTTCATTCCCAAACCGTTCAGGGCTTTTGCCTTTGTTACATTTGCAGATGATCAGGTATTTTTTTTCCTTAATAATTTGTCACTAGTGAAAGTAATTACTCTTTACCTTTCCATCCAGACCTTGTAAAGTGTGGGATATATGGACCTAGGTTTGTGATATCTCTATATCTAAAATATCTAAAGATAAGTAAGGCATTGCGTATGTGGCATTTGGGAGTACATATCTTTTGAAAATAAACTGACATATCTCTGCAGACATTACTGAAGTTAAAGGCTGTATTGGGTTTAAATGAAAGGAACATTTCATTTTTCTTTTAGCTTAGATAAATTATGCTTGAAGTTTTTGTTGCTACTTCGATATATCTTTGTTTATATTCTTATTTCTTGTAGGTTGCTCAATCTCTTTGTGGAGAGGACTTGATCATTAAAGGAATCAGCGTACATATATCCAATGCCGAACCCAAGCACAATAGCAATAGACAGTTAGAAAGAAGTGGAAGATTTGGTGGTAATCCAGGTGGCTTTGGGAATCAGGGTGGATTTGGTAACAGTAGGGGGGGTGGAGCTGGCTTGGGAAACAATCAAGGCAGTAATATGGGAGGAGGGATGAACTTTGGTGCTTTCAGCATTAATCCCGCAATGATGGCTGCAGCCCAGGCAGCACTGCAGAGCAGTTGGGGTATGATGGGCATGTTAGCCAGTCAGCAGAACCAGTCAGGCCCATCAGGTAATAACCAAAGCCAAGGCAACATGCAGAGAGAGCCAAATCAGGCCTTTGGTTCTGGAAATAACTCCTATAGTGGTTCTAATTCTGGTGCAGCAATTGGTTGGGGATCAGCATCAAATGCTGGGTCAGGCAGCGGTTTTAATGGAGGCTTTGGCTCAAGCATGGATTCTAAGTCTTCTGGCTGGGGAATGTAGACAGCGGGTTATGGTCGGTTTGTGTAGAATGGTGGGAATTCAAATTTTTCTAAACTCAATGGTAAGTATATTGTAAAATACATATGTACTAAGAATTTTCAAAATTGGTTCAGTGTGGAGTATATTCAGCAGTATTTTTGACATTTTTCTTTAGAAAAAGAGGAAGAGCTAAAGGAATTTTATAAGTTTTGTTACATAAAGGGTTGGAATATTGAGTGGTTGAAAGTGAACTGCTGTTTGCCTGATTGGTAAACCAACACACTACAATTGATAGCAAAAGGTTTCTCCTGTAATATTTTATCCCTGGACTTGTCAAGTGAATTCTTTGCATGTTCAAAATGGAAACCATTGGTTAGAACTACATTCTTTTCTCGTTTTAATTTGAACCCCACCATATGGATTTTTTTCCTTAGGAAATTCTCCTTTTGGGAGATGATTGTGTCAGTGTTTGGTTCTTTTGTTTTTGTTTTAACACTTGTCTCCCCTCATATACAAAAGTACAATTTGAAGCCTTCATTTAATCTCTGCAGTTCATCTCATTTCAAATGTTTCTGGAAGAAGCACTTCATTGAAAGTAGTGCTGTAAATATTCTGCCATAGGAATACTTCTGTCTACATGCTTTCTCATCCAAGAATTCGTCATCACGCTGCACAGGCTGCGTCTTTGACGGTGGGTGTCCCATTTTTATCCGCTACTCTTTATTTCATGGAGTCGTATCAACGCTATGAACGCAAGGCTGTGATATGGAACCAGAAGGCTGTTTGAACTTTTGAAACCTTGTGTGGGATTGATGGTGGTGCCGAGGCATGAAAGGCTAGTATGAGCGAGAAAAGGAGAGCGCGTGCAGAGACTTGGTGGTGCATAATGGATATTTTTTAACTTGGCGAGATGTGTCTCTCAATCCTGTGGCTTTGGTGAGAGAGTGTGCAGAGAGCAATGATAGCAAATAATGTACGAATGTTTTTTGCATTCAAAGGACATCCACTTCTGTTGGAAAACTTTAAGTGAGTTTTGTTCTTAGATAACCCACGTTAGTTGAATGTGTTAAGTGAAATGATACTTGTATTTCCCCTACCCTTCTGTCAACTGCTGTGAATGCTGTATGGTGTGTGTTCTCTTCTGTTCCTGACATGTAAGTGTGGCAATGTGAACTGAAGCTGATGGGTTGAGACATGGACTGAGCTGGTGGTGTGCTTTGCAGGAGTACGTGGAAGCAGAGTTCACCAGTGAGCTCAGGTGTCTCCAAGAAGGGTGGAAGTTCTAATGTCTGTTAGCTACCCATTAAGAATGCTGTTTGCTGCAGTTCTGTGTCCTGTGCTGGATGCTTTTTATAAGAGTTGTCAATGTTGGAAATTCTTAAATAAAACTGATTTAAATAATATGTGTCTTTGTTTTGCAGCCCTGAATGCAAAGAATTCATAGCAGTTAATTCCCCTTTTTTGACCCTTTTGAGATGGAACTTTCATAAAGTTTCTTGGCAATAATTTATTTTGCTTCAAATAAACTTATTTGAAAAATTGTCTCAAGTCAAATGGATTCATCACCTGTCATGCATTGACACCTGATACCCAGACTTAATTGCTATTTGTTCTTGCATTGTCCAAAGTGAAAAGTTTTATTTTTTGTTTTGTTTTGTTTTTTCCTTTTTAGTTCTAGTTTTTAATAAGTCTGGGTGACCACACCTAAAATGGTAAGCAGTACCCTATACAGCTTTTTCTTAGTGCCTCTGTGCATTTGGGTGATGTTCTATTTACATGGCCTTTATACATCTCCATTGGGAAATCATACCTTTAAAAAATATTCTTATTTGGGAGAGGGCAAAACAATATCGATTATTTTCAAATGCTTTGTAGCAAGGCATATCAATTGAAATGAGACTATCAGTACCTTCCTAGTTTGGGATTTGAAAAGTGGAATTAATTGCAATAGGGATAAAGTAGAAGAAACCACAAATTATCTTGTGCCTGAAATCCATTAAGAGGCCTGGTAGCTTTAAGAACTAGTAGGGTGGGCTGTCTGTCTGTGGAAGTGTTAAGTGAAATGGGCTTTGTCTCCCAAAGGTGGGGGAATATAGTAATGGTGAATAAAATCACTTACAAAACTCAGACTAGACTCTCACAATGCATTGTTAAGTTATATAAAAGCAATAATATATTGATTCTCTATTGTACTTTTTATGTAACTCCTAATTCTGTGAGAGTTGATCTTGTTTTCTAATCGGAA